CCACCGCACCGCAACGGTAAGACCGGAGTCTGTGTGAGCCTGGGGTGAGAAACAAAAACTTTTGAGCGGGGAATTAATTGAAAACTGCATTTACACTCAAACATGTTTTTTTTCAGCTGATCAAAAGTTTAAGACCATAGCTAAAAAAAAACGAAAACCCCCCAAAACAGAAATCAAAGTGTCAAAAAAAGGACTCAGTAATGAGCAGCTCCACCATTATTGTTGAAGACTTCAAACAATGGTTTAGGCATGCTGGATGCCAGTGTTTCCAGGAGGCTACTGGGAACGTTGCTCCAAGTGTTGAAGATGGCTTCAAGAAGGGCAGCCACTGTCTGGAACTGATGTCCATTTTTGTAAACTTCCCTTGCCATCCATCTCCAAATGTTCTCAATTGGGTTTAGATCTGGGGAACATGCAGGATGGTCCAAAAGAGAGATGTTATTCTCTTGGAAGAACTCCTTTTTCAGGCGGGCATTGTGAACTGCAGCATTGTCCTGTTGAAAAACCCAATCATTACCAAACAGACGAGGCCTTCAGTCATGAGGGATGCCCGCTGCTGCATCTCCACATAGCCAGCTGCTGTTTAATGCCCCTGCACCACCTGAAGCTCCATTGTTCCATTCAAGGAAAACGCACCCCAAATCATGGTGGCGCCCCCACTATGGGAGAATTATCCTGCCATAATGCAAGAGCACATCATTTCAATTTGAGAAAAGAATTTCATCTTCTTGCACTCAAAACTTATAATGCTCACACTCAAAACATGCGCTCTCTCTCAAATATTGTCTCTTCTCTCTCAAATCTTTGTTTCTTCTCTCAGATTTAATGCTTCTTGCACAGATATTTTCTCCTCTCGCTTGCTTACTTCTCTTCTCTGCTCGAGTCTCAGATACGCTCGCAAACCCGTAGGCTCTGCTTGCTGATTTTTTTTTGCTCTCAGATTGGATCGGATCGTCGCCTAGCAACCTTTCACAATCCACGCCCACACTTCCCCCTTTAATGTTCTCATGATGGTCTCAACAACAGCGGCGCACCGCACATTTTGAGAAAAAAAAAGACGTTTATATGCGCCTTATAGTCGTGAAAATACGGTAATTTGTACCATATATCTAGTAAAGAATTTGTTGTAGCATGAATCCACGTGGTATTAAACAGGTTAACCTGGACACTGAGAAAGAGTCAATCATTAACATGAATATATTGAATGGCTCTCAGAAAAATCACACTTCAGCCTTGTGCAGTTCTCTCCATTCCTACAGAAAGTTCAAGCCTTTGTTAATGATTGTTAGGATGTATCAAATGCACTGAGATCTAACCGGACAGGTACAGATACACCTCTATTATTTGATGTCATGAGAATATCATTAGTGACTTCCCCCAGAGCTGTTTAAATGCTATGATGAGCTCTAAAATTAGATTATAACTCTTCAAAAATACCATTAAGGTGTTAAGAGTTTCATAGTTTTATAGCAGTTTTTTCATAGTTTTAGATAAAGGATGATTGGATATTAGGTCTCTAATTTAAGGAATCTATGTTTAAAATGAAAGGAGAAAAAAAACATGACTAAGAAATATTAATATTAAATTCAATAGGAACTTTCGCAGCTTCCCAAAAAATTGATAGCAAGGGCTCGGTAGATCCTACAAAGTAAAAAATAGAAGATGTTTTGTTGTAGATTGTTTTTAACTGCTTTGTTTCAGTCACAGTTTTGGCCATTTATAAAACTTGAGTAGCTTGAATAAGAACCATGTTGATAGTCCTCTTTATGCAGTAATTTTCGAAAAGACAACAAAAATAACAGATGAAGGTATAATGTAACTGTTTTTGAACAGAGATTCTACTTTAAATGACACCTATTTTAATTGTGAGTAAATTGTTCAATTTTATTCCTTTTTTGAAAGGTCCTTAATTTGGTTGTGGGCAACCCAGTCTGGATCAGGGTTTATTAAACTACAGCCTAATTTCCTGGTCCAGACCCTGGGTCACCATGAAACATTTAGTAAAAACAAACATTTTGGCATTTTGTAAAGTGGAATCCAAATAGTTGGAAGGATTTAATCATGTATGTTAATCCAACTTAAAGGACAGAGACTTTTTTATATCAGTAGGCAGCTTTACACCAGAGATGACAAAAATCACATATGGGGTTCCCCAAGGGTCCATCCTGGGTCGCCTCCTATTCAATATCTACATGCTCCCTCTG